CATTGCACTCTAGCCTGGGTAACAAGAGTGAAACTCTGTCTCAAAAAAAAAAAAAAAAAAAAGAGTTTTTGAGCAAATAAACTCATCCTATACAGAATGTGAGCCGAATACTCAGATGGCTGGAAGTTCACAGGTAAAACAGAGCTAATCTCAACACATCTGGTTTTTGGAATATTTTTATCTTAGTAAAAAAACAATAATCCATTCACCCATGTAATTTCTTATATTTCATCTTTTAGGCAGGCACGTAGGATGTGTGATACAAAATATTGGCTTCAAATTGGACACCAATACAGAAAACATGTGAGGGTTAAAATGTCACTTAATCAAACGTTCAACATCTTTAAGAACCTTGGTATCCAATACCCACCAAGGCTATTTGTGGTGTAGAAACTTTAAAAATAAGCCTCCTGTCTGAATACATGCTACCTTGACAAAGAAGTTGCTGTCAATTTTACTTTGAAGAGTGTAGATATTTTTACATAAGATCTTGAGAGAATTCCTAGTGGCATGTGGCTGAGACTTGTCTGGGGATGACGTGTTTCTCTAGTTGTTGTAAAAGGATAGCTTATCAAAATGCCCACCTGACTTCACTTTTTGAGCCTCTCTCTAGCCTGGAAGGGTTTCTTATTTGATTATGATACTCTAGGTAGTTTGTCAGCTGAGGGAGACCTTCATATCTTAAAAACAAAAGAGGTGACTGCACTTAGGACCCTTGATTACAAAATGAATTGAAAAGCCACCGTCTTCTTGTTACAGGACCACTCAACTGTAACGATTCTCTTTCTAGTCCTTTACTTTAGCTATTTTCTGCCAAAGCAAAGGGTGATGCCTATTTTTAAAGCCCCATGGCTTACAGCTTTTCACCTTATCACCCACTATAAACCATTCCTGTGCCGCAATGCTGTCTGCAAGACAGGCTGCTGCCTTTATGGCTGCTTTGAGGGAACAATGAGATCATTATTCTGATGGCGATTTTTGCTGTGTGTTTTAAAACAATATTCATGGTAGCCTACTACTCTGTATCTATTTATTCATGATCATCAACAAAAATGAGGCAGGAAAAAGATGTGTCAGTATCAATGATGTTAGAGGGGTGTTCAAATATGATAGAAACAATCCTTCACATAAATTTCCTTAGACTATGAAAATAAATCAGAATAAAAGTAAACCATTCTGTCATTCACATTCTTGATATGTGTCTTTCTTTTATTGTCTCACAGATCTCAGAATGGTTGGTGATTCCTACTTAGCTGAGCAAGAAGGCACTACTCCAGATCTCAAGGGTATCCACTACACAGCGTCTTCTTAGGTCACTTGTAGACTGTGTTTTCCAATGTCTCTCCTTCAGGCATAGGCATGCATTCCTTCCTCTGCTGTCCTGGCATACCTTCTCATAACATATATTTACCTAAGCTGATTCATGCCCATCCTTGAAATTCAGCTGCAGCGTCACTTCATTCAGAAATCCTTTCCTGACTCCACGTTTGATTTGGACACCCTTTTTATACGTGGTTCATTGCCTCCTCTTCTTTCATCTCAACAATTTATCCTCACCGTCCTATCATCACGGTCATTGCATTGTGAATACAGCACAGGAAGGGATGCTGAAACCGGCAGAGGATGTAGACTTGACTGTCATTTTAGCCTTCACCTCCTGCTCACCATGTATACTTTCATCGTCAGTCTTCATCATAGCCTTCTTCACTAACTTCTTAGTTGTTATTCGTATCGTTGCTATACATGTGCTTCGTATGCATTCTGTTACGTAATCTCCATATCAACTCGATGACATAAGTGACACTGCTGTTCCTGAGCAGCATGCAAAGACTTGCAGAGATTAGAAACATGCTAAATTCTATGCTGCAATTCATACCTGTGGTCTGGCTGACTCTAGAACTCTGAGCAAAATGTCATGGAACCTTAATAACAACAAACAATTAACATTATTTAAGAGGAGGGCCATTCCCTTATCCTCTACAATACTTAGTAATATGTCATATACAGAGACAATATTGAAAAGTGTCTGTTGATAAAGCAAATTTAAATGTCATATGCTGAGAGAAGCAAAACCTGCTTATTCATGACCAAGGCTTCTCCTTCTCAGAGCTAGAAGTTTTGAATTCTGGCACAAGTTCTGGTCTTTCCTTGGAATATCATCAGCACATAATTTCTCTAATCTTTGGGATGTCGGAAATTGGCCGCCACTTTCTATCCAAGACTGGTTACATACACCTTGACCACATTCTTAGGAGTTGAGGGTCTTGGTTAGGAAAATGTCTATTGAATAAACCAGAGTGATTGGGTTGCAGTAGTCATCTTACATCCATATGTTTAAGGCATTATTTTTTCCCATAAAAATAATTTCTATATAATAAAATGGAAATTGAATTATTTGAGATATAGATAGTGTCTCCTGCATGTGTTATCATTTCTGTTTGCCTCTGCAGTGCTTAGGGGAAGTTATATGTATGTCTGCAGAGGTATCAAAAAATGAAAGTATGTACAAACGACCTTCATCTTGAAAGTTAATGAGGAAAGACTTTGGGACAATGTTCTATTATCTGAAGGGAAAAAGAGGAAGAAATAAGGATGGAAATAGCAAGTGGCGAGAACAAAGATAAAGGCTGTCAGAACAAGAAGAACACTGGAAAGATCATAGGATTTGGACTGAGAGAAGTCAGGATTTCACAGCTACATCTGCAATGTCCAGGCAGGTGAACAGCGGCACATTTGTTAAATTCTATTTTGAGCTTTTCTTAAATGAAAACTTACATCAATCTTGTTTAAAATTGTTAGAATTAAATAGACAATAAACTTAAAAAGACAGGGTCTTTCACGTAGCAGGAGATTAAAATATAACTACCAGTTTTAACTTTTGATATAGAAACCTTTAAATGATATTTAAATAATAAATATATTTTGCATTCCTTAAAGAGAGAAAGAAACCCTCCAGTAATGTCTTTCTACATTTACAAGTGTAATTTCTGATTCTGGGGTCAAAAATTCTTGGGAGCCAAGAGGACAGTTCACCAATCAGGACAGCACAGGAGAGGGGCTCTGCACACATGCGGACCGTCTTCCCGGAAGAATAACACGCAGAAGGGACACATGCGGACTGTCTTCCCGGAAGAATAACACGCAGAAGGACACATTCGGACTGTCTTCCTGGAAGAATAACACACAGAATGCACACATGCGGACTGTCTTCCCAGAAGAATAACACACAGAATGCACACATGCAGGGTGTCTTCCCGGAAGAATAACATGAGGAATGGATACCTGTGGACTTTCTTCCTGGCTGAGTATCTTTTAAGTCTTCGCTATATTTATGCATTTATATACATATATATATTATATATATATATATATATAATATATACACACACACACACATACATACATACATACATATATATACATTCCTGCTCATTTATTGAAAGCAAATATTATATGTGTGACAATCTATGTGTAAAAGTAAAAGAGTACCCTACAGTAACCCCAATACCATTTTTATACTTTGAATACTAACAATAATTTCTTCATAATTTGTAGCACTAAGACTATATTTAAATTTTCCAATTATCAAAAAATATTGTTTATAATGGCTTTTGTCTTGGAAAAGAATCTGATCAAATTTCATTCAATTCATTTGGATTTAATTTCTCTTTTGCCTCTTTAAATCTAGAAAATTCCCTACAATTTTTATTTATATTTATTATTGTTTTGCAAAACATTGAAATTTGAAGAACTCAGGAGTATTGTGTCGAGAACATCTAAAGGCTGGGTGTGCCTAAGTTGTTTTGGCAGATAGTTCTGTAACCCCAGAATTTCCTATAAACTAGATGTTAGATTACCTGGTTAGAATCAAGTTGAACCAGTTCAGCAAGAATCGGTGTTATTGGTTGACTTGTGCCTCTCCAAAAAAGAGGCACCCACCTCCTTAGATTGTGACCTTAGTTGTAAATAGGGTCACTGCTGATGTAGTTAGTTAAAATGAGGTCATATTGGTGTACAGTGGCCCCTGGTGTCCTCGTGAAAAACTGTGAAGACAGATCTACTCAGGAGAACAACCCGATGACAAAGGCAGACATGAGGGGTAACCAACTGCAAACCAGGGACTGACAGTGCCAGGTCCTCACCAAAGCCTGGAGCGACAATGAAGGCCTGACCTACAGGTTTCAGAGGAAGCATGTCCCTGCTGATATCTTAAATCTTGACGTACTTGAAGCATCCTAGTCTGTGGCACTTGGTTAAGGCAGTCTAGAAAACTAGTGTCAAAGCAAACTAAATATGGCCTGGGAAGGACTCTGTACCTCTATATTTGAGTCCTTGTAGATGAACTGTAATCTAGCTTAATTGTCAGACAAAATTGAAAACCTAACTTAGTAGTATGCATCTGTCACAGTAGCTGAGTGTCTGCCAGCCCAGCAGCTATACTTCAACCACTTGTACACTGCTGAATGTTAAAAATGCGTTCAAACAGGGCGAAGACCAACTTGTAATCAAACTCACTGTTTCTGTAACTCACTTGTGATTCCTCTACATCACTTCACCTTTTTTGTCTATAAATTTGTTCTGACCACAGGCATTCCTGGATTCTCTGTGAATCTGTTATGATTCTGGGGGCTGCCCCATTTATGGATCAGTCATTGCTCAGTTAAGCTACTTAAATTTAATTCAGATGAAGCTTTGCTTTCATCACTACGAAAACAGGCAACACGGTGTACGTGAAGATATACTGCATTGGTGGTGTATGGTGTCACATGCCTCATTATTTATGGGGCAAAATCTGATAACTTGGGGAAGATTGGGAAGCTTAATTATAATGGAATTTTTTGTTTTGTGTTCCTTTCCAATTCACAAGTAGGACTAACCTTTGGAACCGTGGAAGTATCTGAACAAGTGTTCAGAAAATGACTTTAGTGTCCGTTAATAATTGATCATTGTTGACTGAATCAATCATTTTCTTTCAAGTTGAAAGAGGGTGTTTTCTGGCTTCTTCCACATTTATGGACTAGTTCCATTCTGAAAAGAGTAATCTTTTCCTCATGAACTGGGGGTGAACTATAATAGTTCTACCTAAAGCGCATGAAAAACATTTAGTTGTCACCAATAACGATGTCAAATGATGTGCTTTCTCCACCCACCCCAGCCTCACATCGTCATAAACACATGGCTTTTTATGGATTCAATGTGGTATAATAAATTACCGTGAGTATTCATTTTTGATGTTGATGTATCCCATATTTGGCCAATAGAAGCAACTTTAATCTAACTCTTCTGTGCTTTAAACATACCCCCCTTGGTCTTTTTTGTATCTTGCTGTTTTCTGGCACAAGACGTTCTAGGATAACTCTGTCCTCTGTCTTAGAATTTCTCCAATTGTTTTTTAGTTCCTTTATTGGAAAATTGTATTTAGAAATAGTGATTACATACTAGTGGTTCTGACTACTTCTGAAGTTTATGTCTTTTAGGGTCTTCCAGCAAATAGAGCTGGAGTTATTTTTAATAAAAGATCCTTACCACACAATCACATTTCCAATTTAAATTTAACATTTCAGGGTATTTTCTTAACTTCTTATGTGCTATTATATCTCTATCTGTTTTTCTTTCTGAAACTGTAAATCTCAGTTTCTTATATAACTTTAACATATATTCTTATATGTTATATGAGAAATCTCATCATTTGTTTTTATGTATTTTTATCTTTTTTCAGTATTCTAATGTTTCTATCACAATAATTTTACAAATTTATGTTTATTCTTATTTTAAATTTTGTGTTATTGCTACTATAAATTACCTACTTTCTTATGGTTTCTACCTTATAAGAAGATCTATTTTAAGAGTGCAGACAAGCTTAGTATCAAATCTTGTTGTGTTGTTGAAAGTGTTATCATTAGAAAACATCACTGTTTAACCCCATTGATATTTTCTGCTGCCTGATATAATACAGCTGCTTCATTTGGGTTGTTTTTCTGTTTGTTATGTTTGCCATTTGCCCATAATAAATTTAATTGTTTTTTCTTTAGATTTAAGTATGTCTACCAAAATTCTCCTGTATTTATTTTATTTATACACTTTATTTGAGACAGAGTCTTGCTCTGTTGCTCAGGCTGGAGTGCAGTGGTGTGGTCTTGACTCACTTCATCCTCTGCCTCCTGGGTTCAAGCAATTCTCCTGCCTCAGCCTCCCTAGAAGCTGGGATCACAGGCAGGTGCCACCATGCCAGGCTAATTTTTGTATTTTTAGTAGAGATGGGGTTTCACCACATTGGCCAGGCTGGCCTTGTACTCCTGACCTCAGGTGATCCGCCTGATCACCTTGGTCTCCCAAAGTGCTGGGATTACAGGTGTGAGCCACCAAGCTCGGCCTCAAAATTTTTCTTTAATAGGATGATTTGGTCCATTCCTATCCAATGTAATTACTTAATTATTACTACTCTTATTTCATTATTATTCATTCATTATTTCATTATTATTACTCTTATTTCATTCTTTAAGTTTCTTTTTGTCTTGATTTTCTTCCTGTTTTATGTCTTGCCTTCTCTTTGAATGATTTTTTTTCTCCCTCATGCCATTTTCTTTATTGGTTTTTGTGCTCTGTACCCTAATTTTGTCTTTCTATGGGTTATTAAACTAATCTTAAGATTTCTACTTACTTGTTGAAATCTAAATTAAATCAATAGTTTTGTCTTTTTATTTGAAAATAAAAGGAGTTTTTGGTCATTTATACTACAAAATTAAAAATTAAAAAGCTTTTACTCTGCTTTATTATAATTTTAAAATTAATACCAAGTTCCTTCTAATAGATTATACTATTCCAAAGCCAAAGTAAAAATAAATTACTATATGGATCTCTTAATTTGCTTCATGATTAATGATCTGAAATACCCCTGCTTCACAGTCAGTAATTCAGGTCTTGATGACTTATGTGAAAATGTCCCTCATTATCACAAAATGTTTATGTCCTGAAGACCATAGTTTTAAAACTTCTTGTTATGTTTGTGTCCTAAAACCAGTATAAAGTTTTTATTTTAATATAGTCTATCAATTATTGTCTTTTTGAAGTATTTTATACTTTTTAATAGTTAATATCATTGCTGACATATTTGAATTACCCCCTATTGAGACTCTGCCTCAATAAAAGAAAAATGCTTGATAGAATTAGGGGGCACAATTGTGACTCTGGGCACAATTATTGGTTAGGACATAAAAATTGCATTTGGGCTGTGATTAAGTTGACTTAAGTTGAAGGCTAGTCTGTTTTAAACTGATAATAGCCGGAATTAAGACTTCAGTCTTTCGGAAGGAGTTTTCTTCAAGATTCATCAATCAGGAAAATGTGCAGATGACTATATGTTTAAATTCACCTTTCTGTGGAATAAACTAGTGTGAGTAAATAATTCATTGTAGTTTTCTGCTTTGAGGCACATGAAGACACCATTGGAAACTGTGCAAGGAAATGTGCTCAGTGACCATTAGTGATACAGTGACAAGCAGGAGAGCACAGCCGTGGTCCCACCGAGTGCGCTCAGCCAAAACATCAGACCAGTGTGGAGCCAGGACCAGTACATCCTCAAACCCTTCAACGAAACTTGCCGGTGGTTTGCAGATCTGCCACTTCATTTCATCTGCAATACAAATGACCTTTTTTCTAATATCGAGAAGTGAAGACAATTGGTTTCTGCTGCAGGGGAACACCGTTGTTCTGCCTTATTGGTGAAGTAGGAGAGAAATGATATTCAAAAGTAATAAACTGTGTGTGCAGAGAAAATGACTTCACTCCCTGTGGTGTATTCAGCGCATTATACAGTAAACTTTCATTTGCAGAAAACGTATTACCTTTTACACCAAATGTCGGAATCTCAAGTGGTGGTTACTGAACGTTATTTTATATGCTTTTCACTTTGACATCTCTTGGTTTCAGCTTAGAGGACTAGTTTATCAGTAACACATCATGGCAAATTAATAGGTACAGATAAAAACCTCCCATAAATATTCATTACATCTCATTACTGCAAATTAATGAGATATTTTTAAATTAAACTTGATCACATTTGGTACTGAGGATCTCGTTTTAATATATGATGTTCAGAGATAAATTATAATCTTGAAAATGATTGAGCTCGTTATGAAAAACTTTTAGATAGGCATTTTAGTAACAATTTAGATAAGGACTAACAATTATTACACTTGATTTTAGAAATTATGAGAAATTCTCTTTATATTTTTATACTTCTAAACTGCTTGAATAACACTTTAACTGTTCTCATATAATATTACAAAGCAAAGAACTTTATATGTAGGGCACTATACTGTGCTTCAATAATTCAGAAAATATGTCTGTACTTAGAAGTGCTAGCCATAATAAACCAAATTTAACAGTAAATATGATTTTTTTGCACAAACAATGATTTGTGTTTTTTTTTTCATCTGCTTTAAGAATCTGCGCAAATATTCAAGGAATTTTTAGGAAAATAAATGCATATGGGATAAATTTTATAAAGCAGTTAGAGCAGATTTCACCCTCTTAGTGAATTATGCAGTTCTCTGAGTGGTGGCTAGGCAGGAACTATGCATCTACGAAGGCCTCAGGCTCTGCTCTAGTGAATGACACAAGGGAGGTCTTCCCTGCCCTGCTTGGACCGGAGGCAGTCATTCAGATTGCATTTGAATTAGGACATTTTTATGTAACTTGGTTCTCACACCCTCTCTTCAGACACATATTTTTTTTAAACACTTATTTTTAATAGACAGATCTTCCTATGTTGTCCAGACTGGAGTGCAGTGGCTCTTCACAGGCACGTTCACAGAGCCTCAAACTCCTGTGCTCAACTGATCTTCCTGCCTCAGCCTCCCGAGGAGCTAGGACTACAGGTACACATGGCCGTGCCTGGCTAGATATAGCTTAGTGAAAGACCTCACTTTTTCTGCTTCTTGACTTATTTCAAAGAGGTTGTAGCATTCCTGTTTTTCTGGTACAACTGATCCAACATAGCCGAAGAGCCTTTTGTTAGCAGCCTTTGATGAGCACGTTTGACGGTCTTCTCTCAGTCAGGCACACAAGCGACACTGCAGCCTCACATGGGAATAAGATCAATCATCCTACAGACACTGATAATGAAATTCAACCCTTTCATGCAAGATTTGACTACCTGACTGTATTGATCATTTAAGTTCATTCCTCCAATAAATACATTTTAGTCCAAATGAAAAAATACCCAGTTAAATGGGTTCATTTAAGTTCACTCCTCCAAAATATAAATTTTAGTCCAAATGAAAAAATATCCAGAGTCAAATGCCCTAAAACAAAACAAATCCTCTGAAGCTCTCTGAGGCTTTGTTTCATCATCAAAATGGAAGTTACCTGTTTAAATAATATCTGAGCTAATTTCTGCTTTAACATTCTAATATTCTAATTATATTTAATGTTAATATTTTTAGGAAGCACAATTTGTATATGTTTTATTACATTTACTAGTCTGATATCTTCTAGAGCAAAATAATTTTTCCTCTTTGGTGTTTAAATCTGTATCCCTTTATTCATTAAATCGTCTAGAATATAAGTTCCCAAGAGAGAAGCTTTGCATGTCTTGTAGACTTTTGTGTCCCTAAGACTCAGAACAAGGCCAAGCACGCAGTAGGCATTTCCTGAACACAGGTGAGTGAGGGCAAGTCTTCTATAAAAGATTCAGTGATAATTACGGGTGGTCTTTTATCATGAAACATTCATAATCAAGTAGATATGGCAAGAAAGATACAAAAACAGCCATTATACAAGAGATTGCACAGTGAATGCTGTGAAGGATATGGAGAGAGAATACAGAGAAAGCAGAGAGCTGCCCAGCATTCCCCAAGGAAAAAAAAATGATAATTTGGATTTGTAAGACGTGAACTCCTAAACTCCAGGATAAGGAGTTTGAAATCCAGAGAAATATCTTGCCTATTGTTAACTTCTGTAGCTTTGTTTTAGAATCAGCTTACTTGATACCGTCAAAAACAAACAAACAAACTCCCTCGAAAAAAGCAAATGAAAAACAGAGTATTTGTGGAATGCAGTTGAATACACAGGTCAGTCTGGGAAAAACTGGTATCTCTCCCGTGTTATGGCTGTTTATGCATATGCCTATTTTACCTATAACTGTATATGGACTTCCTTTAACGTGTTCAAGATAAAGCTTCATGCTTCTCCAGAGTAAATTTACACATATG